AAGACTACCAAGAAGATCGTGCTGCGTATGGAATGCACCGCCTGCAAGCATAAGCGCCAGGTTCCCATCAAGCGGTGCAAGCACTTCGAGCTGGGAGGAGACAAGAGAAGGAAGGGAGTGATGATCCAGTTCTAAGCCGCGAAAGAAATGCCCACATTATCTTGTCAATAAAATCTCGCTCGAAGATCTGCCGAATTTGGAGGGGACATGGGGTGTCTACGGTAAGACTGGTTGGTGGGGCGTGGAAGGTGCGGCATCAGGGCTCGTCACCGACTAAAGTAACTATACGATTTTATTTACTACTACCTTTAAAATATGGCAGTTGGTCGAAAACAACTTGAGTCACCTGCGCAGAGCTGCCCGTCCTTACGTTTCATGCAAGTTCATAAACGTGGTGCGTAAATTGTAATTTGTTATATGTAGTTTTATCACCAATAAGTTTCTTGCACCTTAAGTTTAAATCCAGGGTCTTCGAGTACCTGATAGGTACCTGAGGGTAGCTGAGGGCTTTATGGGTTCGATGTCTGTTTTTTTTTCAGGCTGTTCTTTTGTAAGTCATACTTGAGCAGGGACGTGTGATAGGGCGGATAGCTAGTGGGCTGGGGTCTGAGTTGGCTCATCGAACTGTTTCAGCTTCATGATTCGTGATGAGCCGTCGTGACTAGCAGGTCCAAGGGGAGGGGAGGGAGAGAAGTTCTACGGGACGGGTCACCGGGTTGAGTGGTGAGGTGGGGGGACTCCTCTTACTGTAATTATTCTTGCGGTATTCGTTCACTCCGTCTCTCCGTTCGCCGCCCAGCCAATTGAATGAATGAAATGGTCATCAGGCGATATCGTGTTACGACCCTGGTCGAAGTATAACGGACGATGCGATATAAGTGGATTATTTACATGATCTTGGGCTTAGTAAAGCTGTTATTAGCCGGCTAAAACCGTTATAGCTAGCCTCATCATGCAGTCATGCGGTTGCCAGTTTGGGTCGTACGCCATGAAAGTGACTCGTGTCTCAGTTGAATTTTGCTGTTGGGTCCGTGGCAAAATGTGTGTTCGGTAAAATTGTTGCCATCAAAATTTAAAGCGGGGCAGAGGCAGAGAAATTGAGGGGCGTTGGCGCCTGAGATGGCTGAATTCCTCAAAACTGAACGGAACAGGTCCAGCCGTTCACGCTCGTCGCTCGTGATTTTCCACGTTATTACATAAAAGATCGTTCAAGGTTCCAAAGAAACTACTATTGCTAGGATAATCACCGTTCCGTCGTTTCCATCCTCAGGACAGTCAAATCCTTCTCCACTTCTCAACCCCCTGATAACTGATCCGGGATGGAGTGGGCAACTCCCATAGGAGCACACACGCGTAGCCGGGTGCAATGGGTGCTTGGGGTTCTGGGTGGCCTGTCCAACTGGACGGGCTCAGCCCCGGCCTCGTCCTTGGCGACTCTCTTGGGTGCCCGCCCAAACCAATGTCTCCCTATTTCTGTCATCCTCCCGGCTCTGCAGTAGTTACAATTGACCGAAAAGCTTAGCCAAACAAAACAGACTAACAGAAAGCTGGGGTAATGCCCGGGAAATGCGAGCAAGAGTACTCGGCTCAGGGTAGATGGCGCGATGAACGGGCGTGTGTTCCGATTGCAGGTGGCGCCACGGGTAAGCGACTGCGCCAGAGGCGGCCCCCGTGCTCCTCGTGTTCGACTAGTCCCTTGACCGCTCCAACATCTGAGGGTGGCGTGGCTCATTCGTGATTCATAAGACAGTAGCCAGTAGCCACAGCGAGGCACAGCGATTCATTAGGGCGCAGCTCGGTTCAAAGTAAAGGTTGTCTGATGCCCGCGATGTCACTGTGGATATTGGTTGGTTAGCCGAGCGTTGCATTGGGCTAGCCCAAACCCCTCAATCCTCAGTACGATCGTACATATGTCATCTAATCCACAGACCACAAGCGATATCGGCATTGGCTTTTTATTGACGAAGACACCATGCACTTAGCAATACAGCAGCGGTCATAACTACACATCTCAAAGCCTTCGAACTTGTAAATGTATTTCAACGCCTAACAGTACAAAAGCGACCCTTTCCTTCCAAAGCTTGATAACAACCCGAAAAGAACCGGGGTAATTCGCATACAGTTGGAATGCCACATCTGTTTCACCTATCACAGTTTCATGTCAACCCAACAGACTCAAGAGCTGAATGGGAGAGGGGAATATACACAGCCCCTAGGAGTCACGGGATGTAACGGTTTCTAACGGTACACGGGTTTGTCCATAACCTGCGCAAGTTCTACACTAGGTCTCACGCTTTCCCGAGGGAGAACAAAATCAGGGAAGATGACAGAGCAGCTCAGCTGGGTACTCAGGCGTAGTACCTCGGGTACTACGAGTTCGACACAGCGATAGTTTGACAAAGGGAATATTGTGATGATATATAGGCGCAACATGCGTAATTATGTACTCAAGGATAATTACATTGCTTGAATATTTCTCGATAATTACGTGATACATGAATACTTCTCGACCGCAGATATCAGCATGCTGCTAAGCAGCGCCATCAGTCATAGTGACCAAAACACACACACATGCCACTCCCGCCGCCGATCACCACATCAGCTGGAGTCGATTCCCATCTGGCGTCCGACTCCTCCGAGCGCGAGCCGCGCCTCCGGCCGGCCGTCGCCGGCTCCGTTACCAGCTCGTCGCCCCGCTGCAGGACGCCCGGGTCCACTCCCTCCTGCTGCATCTTCATCCGCACGGCCGGCTCCGGCACGCCCACCTCCAGCATGCGGAAGTAGCGACGGTAAGGCTCGGTGTCACGCAGACGCACCTGAGTTGTCCCCGGCTGGTCGGCGGCCGCAGGTTTCGACGTCCGGCTGAGGCTGTACTTTTGGGTCGCCGTTTGGCTGGGATGATGCTGATTGGCCATTTGTGAGCTCTGTGGAAGCCGATTGGCTGCCAGATTGTGCAGGTGGAGAGGTGTTACTGTTATCTGATGGCTTGGTGCTTTGTGATGCCTCGCCATTGGTGGTAGCTGGGCCGGCTGGGCCCTTGGATGGTGTCAGCCCCGGCACAGATGACAGCTGAAGCGGCATCAGTTTGGTTAGGCTAGTGATTAGTGCATGATAGGTACTGGTCTAACATAAAAGGCAATGTGTATTGATCATTTCTGATCCTAGGAAACACAAACACCAATGATAAATATAATCTTGTTAATTTAGGCTATTACTGGCAAGTGCTGAAATGTAACATGTCTGTAGCAAATGCTTCATTGGCATTACAACATACTTATGCTATATGTAAGAATATCAGGAGTGCTGTGTCACCCACCTTTGCTTCCAGTATTGACAACATGGTCTCCAGCTTTTCTAATCTTGTGTCAACTGTAAATAATTTCTCTTCACATTGAGAAGAAAACTTATTCAGAAATGTGACAGTTTGAGCAACAAATTCATTGAAAAAAGCAATGATCCGCCTCTGGCTAAGCGCTCCAACCTGAAACAAAGGTGATTAGTAATGAGAAGTGATGGTCACCTTTAGCACACCCGACTCAAAATTAATTAAAAGACTAAGCCATATGGTCATAAACTTCCTCACTAACTTGGCAACATTTAATGAAAATAAATAAATATGTCATTTCAATAGGTACAGCCCACCGCTAAAGTAATGTGTGGTTTTACCAATCTCAACGGATGGCTTCGACAGGCGATTTTTAAATGCGGACTGATTGGAAAGAAGACGTCAATAGATAAAGTTGTAGCTGCAAGGGTGAAGATACATGTAAGCTACATTTAAAGTCTCGTTGCAGTCTGGCTGATCGTTCGTAGGCTTCAGAAGCAGAACATACCCATGACTGAAACCACACGTCACTTCTGCTGTGGACTGTACCTACAGAATACAGATCAATCAAACCCACCTCTTCGTAGTTAATAGTACTGTCAAGATCAGAAATGCCATCAAGGTCCATGTTGAGCAGTAGAGTTGAAATGATTCTGGTTTTTGTCCTCTTGTAATTGTAATCAACTGACAATCAGGAAAATCACTGAAAGAAGGGAATAGAAGGTTCATAACATAACAACAAACAACAGCAGCGTTTACATAACATTTTTGACAAGGCTCTAGCCTCTAGCCCATTTATTTTGCGATAATTTCGATGCAGTGATCTTTGAGTATTTAGAGGGGATAATTTTGTAAATTGTAAAGCACCATTGGCATCTTTTGCTATATAACGGGCGGAGCTGTCAGCTTACAACAATCCCTATGTAAACGGGGCGGCTAATGCTTACCAAACTAAACGGCCTTCTTCGACCTGATATTGTTCATGGCTCGATGCATTTTCTGCGCTATGATGTATTCTAGAAAACAGAACAAAGCTATTAGTTGAAAAGATGGTTTGTGAGTTCGCTAGCATCTTGCGTATATACTTTGAACAGATATTTCGTAATTGTTGCGCAGGAGTTGATACATGAAATAGCTACCATATCATACGATTTTCCTTCACCCACCATAAATCTCTCTGAGATGCGGAAGGCCGCAAGCTTTTGGCCGCCAGGCGTTATCACTTGGCAGTCCCAAATAATGGACGGGTTTTATTTCTAGGCAGGCAATGTGAAATTTCCCATTGTAAAATGGCATGTATCAAGGCCCTAGCCTAGCCCAGTAGAGTGCCGATTAATAAACATAATAAAACCGGCCTCTGTTGACCCAGCTCCGGTAGCTGTTCCCCTCTTGGACCCAAATCCGAGACACCAAAAAATGCGAGCAAAATATTCAAGCGCTTATGATGATCTTGAACTGATAAGTAGCCTATGGAACATATAATCTAAGCTGAGCTTATCACGAATAATAACGATCACCAACTCACCCACTAAATGCGATGTAAGAAGTATTTTTAATGCCCAAGGCCTCATAATCCGGCCGGGCCAGTTTATTGTGATAATTAACGAGCCCCTGCTCATCAACTTTGGTTTCCAGTCATATGCAACTCAGAAATGTTACATCACGATCGAAACACTTTGCAGTTCCTTTTTACTACCAGCATGACCCGATGTCAGCGGGAGACGACCTAACTACACGCATGCGCCCGTTGGGAGCCACCTATCAAGAAAAGGCGAAAATCAGCTCACAGCGCCATAATATATTGCTAACACTAGACGACACCATAACACGAGACACACACCAACACTGGCACAAGTCAGTCGTCGTCCATGTCGCCGTTTTGTATTTCCCCCGCCACGCCTTTGGCAACGGGACGACGGAGGGACAGGGCACCTGGCCGGGCACCTCACAAATGCAGTAGCGGCCGCAGCCCACGCCGAAGTTCGATTTGTTTTCAACTATCTGCGCCTCCTTCTCCTCCGCTGCTAACACAGATCTGTGAAAGATATAAAGTTTATCAGAATGGGTAACACTATGCTCGTATTCGCCTCACTCGCAAATGCAAGGCTGATTTACCTTCATTCATACTGAGGTTAATTCTCATCAGCTCAAACATAAAGGCGGACTCAAGCCATAAGTATATCACAGGCTGAAAGCTTCGAAAAGTTTATGACGTCCTCATTTTAACTACCTGTGAAAATGAGAACCGTTTGTGCCTTCCGTTTGAACTTCTCTAGGCTATGAGATGGACAAACGATATACGCTGACAAAAAGAAAAGCATCGCAAGGTTGGGAGAAGACTTTCGATTTGATGATTCGCCGCCAGCAGTGACTTGAAATATGCAATAAATACAATAACGATATATATTACATACGATGAAACACATGAAGCTACTGTAACACATCATCAGCATGCATGACAAAAGTATGCGTTACAATGACATTTTATCGATGCTTACTGGGATTTTCCTAAAATCTTCGTCAGATGAGAGAGGATGTCTTCTTTTGTTTTTCCTTCCGCGTCGACAATTACCTCCTCATCACCATCTGCGAATAAAGATAAACCAGGATTAACATTTTATGCTTCAATATATAAGAGTACATGTCCTGTAAAGTAAACCATAGCACATTTCGAGCAACTGTTTGTCTTTGACGATTGATCAATTGGTGACAGCATCCTCTTCGGTACTTTTCGGCAGCTGCTGTTAAATTCAGGTACCCTTAACACCTAGTCAAAGCAATTCAAACATAACGAAGTTTGTTTTTACGTGTATACCTACGGAGAGCTGGGAGAATCAATCCTGTCCTATCTAAGTCAGATCGGACACACGGATCTACAAGTCCACGACGCGGACTGGCGTCGACGATGCCCCGATGTCTCGTGAGTCGAAAGTACCCTGTTCTCCGATTCCACCGCTCTTCAGCACTCACCGAGGAATAATCTGATGAAGGGAGACGGCATCATGTCCTTCATGGCCACCAGCTGGACGTTGGGGTTCTTGTACTGGATTTGTGGCGTATACCAGTGAAGAAAATCCCTGAAGAAACAGAGCACACGTGTCATGAGTAAAACGGAAAGAGTGGGATGCTACTGCCGGGAGACTAGTGATGCCGACGGCACAGGGCACCGTGCCGTGTTCACATACACCACATACAATGCAATGAAGGCTGGATGAACTAAGTAGCCAGCAGTCACATCACAGGCTGCAGTCTATCTCATCATTTAGCGGCACGAGGCCCCACGTTATAGCTGCTTCCTTGCCGCAAGCGGGCGACATCGACGTGCTCAGCGGTACAGCCTACTTTACGGCGTTCATCGCTAGCGCCATCTGTGGAGGAAATGTAGAAATGATAGTCCCACAACTGCGGTTGGTGGGATCTTCACTCAATATACCCTGCACCACCACACCCGTGTTACCAGTGTGGTGTCGGTTATGCCGTCTGTTGAGCTGGCTGGCTGTAGTCTCAGCTCCGCCCCCACACCAAGGCCCCCCACACCAGTGTGACTGCCGACTGGTGTGGGATGACGTTCGCCGTGCCATCTGTTGGCTCCAATGGAAACCCCAGTTGTGCCCCGCCATCTGTTGGCCGTAATTTAGACTTCGGTTCCGCGCTGTCAGTGCGTCCGCCACCTAGCGGTCGTAATGTGTGTGAGGAAATGTAACTTCGCTCTCTTGCCCCGCGGTCGCCGCCGCAGCCGGCCGACGAAGTGGCCGGCTGCCGCCATTTTATAATAAATCCGCTGTCGCTGTTAACGAACCTCTCTCGCTACACCGGGGCAGTGGCGGATCCAGGGGGGGGGGGCTGCGGGGGCTGGCAGCCCCCGCCCAAGGAAAACTGGCGCCACTGCGCAGAAGGCGCAGTGGCGCCAATTTTCAATTCGCAACTCATCGGAGTGCCGCATACTAGGACTAGGATGCAAAAATCAGTCGAATAACGTCGTTTCAGTACGCTCCGCACCGATATTTCCAATCGTGTGGTGGCACTGTACATACTGATCCTGGGCGCCTCTTGTCAGGGCCACTGGGCGCCAATATTTCAGCGCCAATACGATGCGACTATGGCGCCCATCCGGGGCGTGGCGCCCAATTATGACCTGCAGCCCCTCCCCAGTGAAAATCCTGGATCCGCCACTGCACCGGGGATAACTGGCGTGGTGACAGCGTTTCAACCTATGCCTCCCCTTGATGTTTGTTTTGCCAAAAGCGGCGCAGCGACACTTGTCGTACTGCACATTTGAGGCGGTTTATGTTATCAAGATGGCGGCGCTGGCGCGTCCGCGCCGTGGCCTGAGTCACCTGAGTATTGTTTATTCTCGGAATTGACAAGCATCGGATTTGACGTCAACAGAAGCCAGAAGATACGGTTCTGCGCCTGTTGTTTGTTTTTCAAGCTGAATATGTCTGCTGGCTCGCTCTGCCGTGGTTCTGCTGGTGCTGTCGGCCGGAGACATGCCGCGCCACGCCGGTCGCTGCTGCCTTCGACGCCTGTCCTGTCGAGTGTCGGTTTGACCGCCTCAGACTGCCGCCAGCTGCGGGCCGTTGTCGGCGGCCCCGCCGACTCCAACTCTGATTCTACTGACTCCCTAGTCCCTGCTGAAGACTGCCGCGCTCACCGTCCGGTGTGCCCCTGCGTGAGGCTGCCGGCTGGCCGAAGAGCGATTCCAGTCGGGGAAACTGTGGAGCCGCAGCCTGCTGAAGAAGCGGCTGATCCCCAGTATTTCTACCTTCTCTGCCGGCCTGACCCTGCGGCCGCCCGACACTGGACGGCCGCCCGCTCCTGGTCGCTGTGCGACGCTCCCGCCGCGCCGTCGACCGTGGAGATCGGCCCATCAAGACTCGACTGTACGAGCACGTATGTAGCCGCGACTCCGCCCGAGTGTCTTTGTTGTTCATTCGGACTGTGCCTATGCTAATGCGCGCTCAGCGACTCCCCTCTCCCGTTCGTTTGGGGTGATACGAGTACGACCTTACGATGCGATGTTTAGTGATGCGTGTTTTGCCACCCGCGGTGATTTCACTTGTATTTTTTTTTCCATTCGCTCCTTGCACCTCGTTTTGCAGTCCATCACAATCAGGGCTATGCTGATTTTTATCCAGGGCATTCGTAATTTTCTTTTCGTTTTTTTTTTTTCGATTGCGGAAGAGAAGAAAAGTGGTCACACCACCACACCCGTGTTACCAGTGTGGTGTCGGTTATGCCGTCTGTTGAGCTGGCTGGCTGTAGTCTCAGCTCCGCCCCCACACCAAGGCCCCCCACACCCAGGGGGATGTCGTCCCGGTTCTCCCCATGTATTATTCGCCAATCAGCTTAACACTACCAGTGACGTCACTGGTGGATCACCAATCGGGGCCGGCCGGCCGGGCCCGTAGGAGGCCAAACGCAGACGTTTTCAGAAAAGCGTAAGCCGTATAGATACAGTCTTGGATGGAGTTTTGCTGTGATTCGGCTCTTCAAGAGTGCGTCAGCGGACCAGGACCAAGATAAAGGTCATAGTGAACCGGCATCTGATAAAATCCGCTCACGGCTTAGCAGCCGACTTCGACCCTTCGCCCTCGTAAAGTACAAAAGCTTGCCGGTCATCAATCCACCTGCATCTCCTCATCTCCTTACTGCCTATGTCGACCAGTTACCGCAGCCGTTTTGGAGCGGCTCACGGCCGATAACACGCCGGGCGTGCGCTAGCCGCCGGCGCTAAGCGCTAACCATTGAGTGCGCATGGCTGACTGCCGCCCCGATGGCGCTGGCCCCCGGCACCGACACCGGCGCGGCGCCGCTGACCCATGGGGGGGGGGGATTGCTAGAGCCGGAATACTGAATAGGGATAGAAGCCGGTATGGGATTGGGATGGAAACTCAGCGAGACTAAGGGATTGTGTTGTGCCTTCGGTAGGCCCCCAAAAATCACCGGTGTAGTGCCCTCAGGCCGCCGGTTATGAAGCCTTTGGAGGCACTGGTGTGGGCCCTCAGAGGCATTGGTGCGGGGCCCCGGAGGTGCTGCTGTGGGCCCTCTGAAGTGCTAGTGTGTGGCCCTCAGAGGCGCCGGTGAGGGTCCTCACAGTTGCCATTGTGGGCTCTCAGAGACACTGCAGTGTGGGGTCATCACAGTCGGGTGTGGGACCCTTAAAGCTGCTGGCTCGAACCCTTTATAAGCCGACAGGGGCTCTCAGAGACCGACAAAGGGCCCTTAAGAGGTCTGCGGTGTCTTCAGGAGCCCTGTGGAGTCCTCAGAGACCAGCAAGGTATACTCTCAGACGCCGGTGGGGGCCCTAAGAGTCGTCGGTGCGGGGCCCTCAAAACTCAAGTCACCGGTGAGTGGCCGTCCGATGCGAAGGTCCCGTCGTAGGCCGTCCGAGGCTCCGGCGTTGAGCCCTCAGAGCCGCCGATATATGGCCTTAAGAAGCACTGGTTTGGGCCTTTGGAACTTCGTCGGTTGAACTCAGAGGTGGCAGTGTGGGGCCCTCAGCTGGGCACCGCTTTGGGGCTTTCACAGCCGCCGGTGAGGGCCCTCGCAGGCGCCGTTGTGGGGGCCGTTGTGGTTTAGGGGATCATCACAGGCGTGTGTGGAACCCTTAGAGCTGCTGGTCCCTAATAGGCCGGTAAGGGCCCTCAGAGGCCGGCAAGTAGCCCTCAGAGGTCGCCAATGGGCCCTAGGGCCCCCTCTCAGCTGAGAGGCCGGCAAGGGGCCCTCAAATGCCGACATGGAACAATAAAAAGCCGGTGTGTGGCTCTTTTGGAGAGAAGTGTGGCTATTGTGTGGCTATTCGGAGCACATAAGATGTTCTTTCGAGCCCTGTGGGGCCCTTCTGAGTCGAAAATGCCAGCGTGGACCCTCAGCCGCCAATTGGCGTCGCAGGGCCTCGGGCCCGAGAGGG